ACAGAAGTAATCCCACAGTTATTTTGTAGTGGACAATTATTCGGATTCCTACAATTACATAAGTTGTTATTTGTATTCTTATAATTAGTATTGCAGTTAGTAACCTGTTGATTAGTCAAGCCTTTTGAATTCTATACTTGTTAAAGACTATGTTGTTATGTTTTTTAATTATCTGCTCTAGGTTATCAGCACAACTATAGCTTAATTTAAGGGTATTAGGATTAAATATTTTACTAAGTGGGTTAGTTTCAGGGTTGGGGAAATGTTTTTTGATTAGGTTAATAAATATACGCCCTAACTTAGTTTTGACCATAACATTGAAAGGGGGAGTGAACCAAATAACCTTTCTAGATCTTCTTTTCTTATTATGGTTGCAATTAACAGGGTTTTTATATTGAATAGTGGTATTTTTGTATCCACTATTTTTTTAGTGCAGAATTATAAAAAATCACTATGTTTATTGAAAACCTCCTTATTATAAGAGTTAGCGCTAATTCTAAATTCAATGGAAGTGGGTATATGTTTGATAACCGAAGGGGATGGTTGGAATTAGGATGCACGTATAATGGGTTGGAATTAACTTTCACGTATGGTTGGAAAATATTGTTAGCAAGATCTTGGGTGACATCTAGAAAATCTACTTGTCTAACATTAGTAGTAACTATTGTCCAAGACCTAAATCCTTAAATACCCTATAGATCATTTTCCTAATACGGTCTAATTTTAATTTTAGATGAGTTTTTAACAACTAATAATCCATCATCTCTATATAATCCTACACTATCTGAATCTAGACAATCGAAGGCACTTAAATTATATAAAAATAATCCAACCAAGTCCGAAGCTTCAGCAGAATCCAAGGAACCCATGGAAATGTCAAAATTGTTGTTGGAAGACTTTTTGGTCCACTGTTCATCCCTGTAAATTAGAACAGAATTTCGACACTTCATGATGATATCAATTTCTAGCAAAATTGTCCAAATCGTGCAAAAGCAAAATTATTCAATTGTTAGATTAAGCTTTGAACCGTTTGTATCTTAGAAATGATTAAAGATACCTTACTGGATTCTCCGAGGTTTTTATAACACTATTAGAATTTACTTTGAGCAAATAGAATGTATAATTACTTTCCAAGCTTAACAGATGAATTGTGATAAAATTGAACATAAACGGAAATGATGTTCATCAGTAATTAATCATAGCTAAGGATTGAAGCTCATGAAGGATTTAAATACAGTTCAAATATATATATATATATATATATATATATATATATATATATATATATATATTGTGTGTGTATTTAGCAGCATTTTTTATTGATGTATGTTTCATTAAATAATATAATAATTTAATTTTAAATAAATAGACAAAAACTTGTCTATATTATTTAATGAGATATGCATCAATATATATATATATATATATATATATATATATATATATATATATATATATATATATATTATTCCAGGATCATTTTACAACGTATTCAAGATGATCTTCGCCCTCTCTAACCTTCTAACATTCTGTAAAATGTAGTAGCAAAGTGTCTCATACTTTTCAGGTGAGATTTCATTTTCAAAACTTTTTTCATTTCTCCTTGGACTGTTATAGCTGAAAATCCTCCTTCACGTGTCAAACATCTTATAAATTGAGTTGGATCTTTTCTAATTGATCCCTTTAGCTCTGAGTTGAAATGATAATCCCTCTTCCTCTTGTAACTTCATGATCCAGTTTCTCTCTCTACTGTTCTCTCTTTTTTAAACTTATTCATCGTTCATTTCATGGTTCATGAGTGGATTTTGAAGATGGAAGCCAGATTATGAATGTTGGCAACATTACTGAAGGACTGAATGATCTTTTTCCTCTAACCATTGCTCATTTGGGAAGAGAGTGGGACCGACAAAAATCAATTTTAACTTGATCGCTTTTTAATGGAATATCCCAAATGATTTTCAGTGATTTTTACGACAAATGGTGTCAAGATATTTAAACTTCTCTGAAACCTTGTGTTTTTTTTAGATATTAAATTATGCTTTCATATGATTTTGACAATTTTGCTGTTACACACGGTATATTTATATTGGGTCAGTAAATGTTCATATATATATATATATTAAGAAATGGACAAAGTCCAACAATTTATTTATTAAAGACATTTTTATGTTTAACGTTCTTTTTTTTTTTTTATAGATACAAGTATTTAAGTAAATGCTCTGTTTATAATAAATGTCCGAGAAATTTTCATAGAAAATATTCGTCCTTTGACAGGATTCGAACCTGCATCCTATACGGAACCGTCATTTACGCTAACGTGCCTTAACCGTCTCGGCCACAAAGGAGCGTTCGGTAGGCAAGGTCGAATTTACTGCTTATAAACTTCAATCTTCCATGAATCTCGTACATTCATAACTGCTCTGGCGTATCAAATGTAAACAATATGTCATATATTAAGAAATGGACAAAGTCCGACAATTTATTTATTAAAGACATTTTTATGTTTAACGTTCTTTTTTTATATAGATACAAGTATTTAAGTAAATGCTCTGTTTATAATAAACAGTATGTACGAGATTCATGGAAGATTGGCGTTTGCACTGATGGCACGACCATTCGGAACCAACTCAAAATGCACGATTCCTTTAAAGTTCCACCAAACGCACAACATGACTTTCTTGCCGAATCGATCTTGTTTTGGAACCGACGGTGTCTCTTGCCCTTTCTGAACCCACCGCTTGAATCGATTGTGCTGGATTGTGTTGTATAAAAATTCAATTTTTCGCAAGGGTTTACGAACTTTTGGGAGAACCTATATATATATATATATATATATATATATATATATATATATATATATATATATATATATATATATATATTATCAATCTGACAGCAACCTTTTTTTTAAACATTTTCCGTTAAATATAACAGACAAGGAAAATTTTATTTAATTTTTTATTTAGTTTTTCCAGCATTTTTCCTTTTAGCGATAGTGAGGGAATACCAAAAATGCCCATACCTTCCATTACCACAAGCGCTTCTGGCCACTTCTTTAGCCATTTTCAAGGGCGTGCTGTTTTGGTATAGCAAGCAAACTTTTTCCTTCGCCCTTATTATTCTTTCTTTCCTTCTTCTCCCTTTTCCACTTCTTTACTCTCTCTCTCTCTCTCTTTTCTCTCTTCATCAAAGCCTCCCATCTTTATTTTTCACTCATCTCCTTTCCCGCGTTTTTTTTCTTTTTTCCTTCCATCCTTTCTCTCCCCCCCTTTCTCTGTTGTTCAACCCTTTCCCCTATACTTTTCCTTTCTCCTAAACACCTCTCTCTATTTTCCATTCACCTTTTGTCCGACCTTACTCTCCTTTCTTGCTCTTTTTTTTTTCATTCTCTCTTCTATAGTCTTACCCATCTTCCTTTCCGTTTCTAATCTGTTCCTCACCTCCTTTGTTCCTGTATTTCTTTCGTTACTTGCTCTCCATTTTCCATTCTTTCTTCTCCTCCATTTCTTTCTTTTCTCCAGACTCTGTTTTTCAAAATGCTTTCTCATAGCAACTTCCCTTTTTTTTTTTTTTCATTCATTCTGGTTTGCTTTTATTTGTTTATTTTTTTTATTTTTTCTTCCAACTTAACTTTCTTTTTTTTGTCATTAATTTCTTTTTTCTTTTTCTCTTAATTTCTCTCCCTAATGTTCACGTTTCTTTTTTGTGCATTTTTTTGTATTTTTCTTTCTTTCTTTTAGAAGATTTTTATAAAGCTCACCTTCTATTTTTATGCCTCTCTGTTTCTTTCTTTCTTTCTTTCTTTCTTTCTTTCTTTCTTTCTTTCTTTCTTTCTTACACTTTTCTATAATGTTCACATGCCTCTCTTTGTATCTTTCTTTCTTCCCTTCATTCTTTCTTTCTTTCTTTCTTTCTTTCTTTCTTTCTTTCTATAATGTCACTTTATTTTTTTATACTTCTCTCTTGTATTGCTTTTTTTAATGTCCTCACTAATGTTCACTCATTTATTTTCATATTTCTTTCAGTATTTCTTACTTTCTTATAGTGTCCAATAATGTACGTCTTTTATTTTATTGCCACACTTCGTACTTCTTTCTTTCTTTCTTTTTAAATTATCCTATAATGTTTACTCTTTTATTCCCCTTTTCGTTTTTCTTTCTTAAAGCATTATATATTGTTCACCTTTTCTTTTTTTTGACTCTTTTAGTACTTCTTTCTCTCTTTTTTAAAGTATTCTATAATGTTCACTTCTTATTTTTATACATCTTTGTGTTACTTTCTTTTTTCAAGTATTCTATAATGTTCACATTTTCTTTTTTATACCTCTCTTTGTATTTCTTTCTTTAATTTTTCTTTCTTTCTTTATTGAAGCATACTATAATGTTTACCTTTTTTATACCTCTCTGTGTTTCTTTTTTCTTTCTTAAAGTATTCTATAATATTCATCTTTTCATTTTGTACCTCTCTTATTCTTTCTTTCTTTCTTTCTTTCTTTCTTTCTTGAAGTATACTCTAATGTTCACATTTTCTTTTTATACCTCTCTTTCTGGTTGTTTCTTCCTTTGTTTCTTTCTGTCTTTCTTAAAGTATTCTATAATGTTCACCTTTTCTTTTTATACCGCTCTTTTTCTTTCTTTCTTTCTTTCTTTCTTTCTTTCTTGAAGTATACTATAATGTTCACCTTTTCTTTTTATATCCCTCTTTTTGTTTGTTTCTTTCTTTCTTTCTTGAAGTATACTATAATGTTCACCTTTTCTTTTTATACCCCTCTTTTTCTTTCTTTCTTTCTTGAAGTATACTATACTGTTAACCTTTTCTTTTTATACCTTTCTGTTTCTTTCTTTCTTAATGTATTCTATAATGTTCACCTTTTCTTTTTATACCGCTCTTTTTCTTTCTTTCTTTCTTTCTTTCATTCTTTCTTTCTTTCTTGAAGTATACTATAATGTTCACCTTTTCTTTTTATACCTCTTTTTCTTTCTTTCTTAAAGTATTCTATAATGTTCACCTTTTCTTTTTATACCGCTCTTTTTCTTTCTTTCTTTCTTTCTTTCTTGAAGTATACTATAATGTTCACCTTTTCTTTTTATATCCCTCTTTTTGTTTCTTTCTTTCTTTCTTTCTTTCTTGAAGTATACTATAATGTTCACCTTTTCTTTTTATACCCCTCTTTTTCTTTCTTTCTTTCTTGAAGTATACTATACTGTTAACCTTTTCTTTTTATACCTTTCTGTTTCTTTCTTTCTTAATGTATTCTATAATGTTCACCTTTTCTTTTTATACATATCTTTTTCTTTCTTTCTTTCTTTCTTTCTTTCTTTCTTTCTTTCTTTCTTTCTTTCTTTCTTTCTTTCTTAAAGTATTCTATAGTGTTCACCTTTTCTTTTTATACCGCTCTTTTTTTTTCTTTCTTTCTTTCTTTCTTTCTTTCTTTCTTTCTTTCTTTCTTTCTTTCTTTCTTAATGTATCATATAATGTTCACCTTTTCTTTTTATACCACTCTTTGTATTTCTTTCTCCATTTTCCAACCCTACTCTTTCCCTCCTGCCTTTTCTCTTTCTATTCTTCCAAATTAGTTTAATTTTTCCCCCCTCTTTATTTGCTTCCTTCTTTCTTTCATTCCATGTTTTCTTTCTTTCGTTTTCTTCGCAATCATTTTTCCTCTGTTTTCTATGATTTGATCGCCTCTCTTCTCTCGCATATTATCTGAAATCTCATCTTTCAACTCGACATCAACAATGCAAAACGCTGTAAATCGTCACCCACCCTCGCCCGAGAATTGGTTAGCCACGTAATTGATACGTAATTGTATTAGAGTTAATCAATTATTTCATTCATTAGCGAATACGGCTGATAAGTGAGTGATTCGTGGTGAGAAGTGTTGACAAACGCCGATGTTAGGCGCCATTTCGAGTGTTTTGAGATTCCAGATAGGAAGAGAATGGAAAATGGGGGAAGAAAGTAGTAAGGAAAATGGCGTTAAATTTTAAGAAGGGTGGAGGAAAATAACGATTCTTATTTATTTATCAATCTGTCAGAATATGATATCTTTTTTTATGTGCCGTCTCTCTTCAAGACATGGGTGAAGATAGTTCTCCACATATTCCTGTCTGTTGTAGATCTTTGTCTTGATTGTTTTTTTTTTGTTTTGTTTTTTACTATGCTTGCCAATTTCTGTTCTGTATCACTCGCTGCTTTTCTCTGTCCTTTTGCCTTCCATAGCCCTGTACGTGTCAAATTCTCCCATCCCTTTTCCTCATCATGAATTCCCAAGGTCTCAACCGTCTCTTTTGGATAGTAAGTATAAGTGTCTTTTTTGTTTAAATTTCTCTTAAAAATTCGTTGTTGCTCGCATACTCTGTCCATAGGATTCTCATCATCCTTCTGTAGAACCACATTTCTGTTGTCTGAAGTCTCCTCATAATTTGCGATGAAACTGTCTACCGATATAGAGGAAAACCCATATTACTTAACAGGTTAAGATAGTTTTGGTTGGAAAGTATCCACTTGGGAGTCTGTTCTACAAAGCAGATTTTCGGAGGATGAAAGTGAAGCTTCTTTCTTACTAATGAAATATGTTCAGTCCAGTGTACGTGTCATGGTGGGTCTTAGCTGTGATTGTTATAACAGAGGAAACTAAGGAATATACCTCGTCAGAACATTCGCCATGGAAATAGCGATAGAATGTCAAGAGGCTTGCGAAGAAAGGGGCTGTAGGTGTGAAAATAATTAATCACCAATAATTCATCAAACTGTATATGTCATCGAGGGTCTTAGATGTAAAGGTCTGAACTGGTGGAACTAGGGAATATACCTCGTTAGAACATTTGCCATGGAAATAGCGATAGAATGTCAAGAGGCTTGCGACGAAAGTGGCTGTAGGTTTGAAAATAATTAATCACCAATAATTCATCAAACTGTATATGTCATCGAGGGTCTTAGATGTAAAGGTCTGAACTGGTGGAACTAGGGAATATACCTCGTTAGAACATTTGTCATGGAAATAGCGATAGAATGTCAAGAGGCTTGCGACGAAATGGGCTGTTGGATTGAAAATAATTAATCACCAATAATTCATCACACTGTATATGGCATCGAGAGTCTTAGATGTAAAGGTCTGAACTGGTGGAACTAGGGAATATACCTCGTTAGAACATTTGCCATTGAAATAGCGAGAGAGTAGCGAGAGACTTACGACGAAAAAGGCTGTAGGGTTTGAAAATGATTTATAACCAATAAATTCATTACTGTGTATGTGGCCTCGCAGGTCTTAGATGTAAAGGTCTGAACTGGTGAATCTAGGGATTGTAGCTCGACAGAGCATTTTCCATGGAAATAGCGGGAGAGTAGCAATAGTTTTGCGACATTTCGTCAGTGTGAAATGGGTTTTAAGGTGGAAAATAATTAATCACCTACAAGGTCGCGTAGACATTTTTGAACTCTGTCAAGACTAGCCGCGGGGGGGGGGATCGTTCTCCTCTGGCTCGTAATGGTAGAGAATACCAGTAAGAGTTAGATACTTTTATACATAAGCCCAATAATTTGTTTCCACTTATTCAACATGGCCTCATAGACTTCTATATTTTTCGGGACAGTTAATATATGATTATATACTTTTTAAATGTTTGCAAGGCACAAGTGCCACTCAACGTAGAGGATTACTAAAGGTGGTGTTTAGGTGAGCGAAGGAACAGGGGGCACAGTTTAGGCAGACATGTATGAAAGTTAGCCGTTAACCTTACACTTGAAGAGGTTAAGACTGTAGTGGTCGGGAAAGCATCCTCCTGGGATCCTATTCCAAAATGGTCTTGGGAAGATGCAATGTGAGTGGTACTTTCTTCTTACTAAAGGAATACGTATGAAATGAGAGTGGTTCGCCTCAATTTACGCAGCAACCTTTTGTCTGTGCGAACAAGTTTGTAAAGTGGAAAACAATTCATCACCTACACTACCCCGGAGACGCTTTTGAACTCTATCAAGACTGCAAAGGGAAGACTATGAAGCTCCAGATAAGATATGATAGCAGTAAGCCATTTTCGGTCTGATCTGGCATTTCTATAAATAGAGCATAGCAGGAGGAGTTAGGTACTTACTGAAACGCAACAAGCAACTGATTATTTTTTGCAACACTTTTAGCGATGGAACGTATTTATGGGTCCCACGAGTTCTGGGGTGAGCTAACATTCCAATCGGCTTTCAAAGTAAGGGTCCTCTTTCTGAGAAGACCCGTTCATCGCTATAATTGAACATTTAGGGTCTGGTTGCTGGTGCCTGAACGTTTGATTTCTAAATTATTAAACGTTACATGTTATTTCCCTCCCCCGACCGAAGAGTTTGGCCAAGAAGGGTTTATTTGTTTAACGGCACATCAAACCCTTATGGGTCATTTGATACCAAAATTTAATTTTCTTGGGAGTATTAATCATTTCATTTGAATAAATGTGCTACTGGTAAATTGGGATAGCGGCTCGGATTGAGAGATCGGAGAGCTGAGTTCGAATTCTAGTCGAATCCATTGCCTTCCCTTACGTGCCTTGGGAAAGTTATGAATCTGCCTCGTGTATCACGCATGGCACATAATTGACTGAATGACCCTTGCGAAAGGTATGAATCCTCTTATTCTCCCCCAACTATGGGTAAATAGCCTTGGTTGGCAACTGATTTACCGCAGAAAGAAATAGCAACCTACTACAAAAAATCTGCCTCGTCAGTCATGTATCGAAAGATACATGATCACCTAAGCGTGTATCACGCATGGCACATAACTAACTGAATGGATAGCGACTAGGATTGGGGAATCAGAGAGCCGAGTTCGAATTCCAGTCGAATCGATTACATTCACTTACGTGCTAATACCCTTGGAAAACGTATGAATCATCTCCTTCTCCCCTTAACTATGGTTAAATAGCAGAACAGACCGGCTTCTATAGCCTTGGATGACAACTGGTCTACCGTGGAAAGAAATGGCAGCGTACTGCGTGGAAAAATCTGCCTCGTCAGTCATGTATCGAAAGATACATGATCACCTAAGCGTCTATCCCGCATGGCACATGACTGAATGGATAGCAACTAGGATTGAGGAATCGGAGAGCCGAGTTCGAATTCCAGTCAAATCCATTACATTCATTTACTTGGGAAAGGTATGAATCCTCTTCTTCTTCCCCCAGCTAAGGGTAAAATAGCAAGACAAACTCTGGAATGTGGAACAGAATGTTTAAGTGGTCAGTGCTCATTGCGTCTTATCCGTGTTTGTAAATGCGGAGAGTATAGTCTAGGAAAAGATTAAATAGACTAGGGTCCTCATTTCCTCCGTAACTAACTGCCGTTATCTCGTCTACTAAATTTACTATAACAGATCGATACGCCGCGGTATCTGAAATGTTTAGTATTTACTAATTTCACATCCTTAAATTTTATTATGGATTCAGAGTATCACTTCTTTCATTTCATACCCAGATGGGGTTCTAAGGTAGGAAACAATTCATCGCCTACACGGTCCCTGGAGACGTTTTTGAAGTCTGTCAAGACTCTGAAGTGAAGATTGTACAGCTCCAGATAAGATATGACAGCAGTACTCTATTTTCGGTTTGATCTGGCATTTGTATAGATACACTCACTTACGTGCTAACACCCTTGGGAAAGGTGTGAATCCTCTTTCTTCTCCCTCCAGCTATGGGTAAATAGCAGGACAGACTGGGTTCTATAGCCTTGGATGGCAACTGGTCTAGGAGAAGGAAAACTCTGAATTCAAACCTGCTCTTAGAGGAGGGTGAATGGAGTCTCTCTGGGCCTTGGTTGGCAATACATTTAGTGTTGGTGTCACGATAAAAAAACACCCTTGATAGCACTAGCGAAGCATCAAGAATTCAGCTATTTGACAAGATTATGAACTACACCAATCAAAGTACTGGTGAGTTCAATCTCGGCTGAGGCCGCAAGATGATGATAGATAGAGCATAGCAGGAGGTGTCAGATACTTACTGAAACGCAACAAGGATCGATTTTTTTTGCAGCACCTTTAGCGATGGAATCTATATATGAGTCTCACTGGTTCTACAGTGATCTAACGTTCCAATCGGCTTTCAAGGTAAGTGTCCTTCTTCAGAGAACACCCGTTCATCGCGATAGTTGAAAATTTAGGATTGTTTTTGTTTCGGAAACGTTTATCTTGAATCCTATTTCCTGGAACACTTGATAGAGGATACTGATTTTCTGTTCAAGATCATTCTTATCCCAACTAAGAATAACTATATTATCAGCACCATCGCCTCTACATTAACCCCAGGATGGAATGTTGTCTTTTATTGTTAAATTCATTTGGGATGTGGCATTGAATGATGAAATACTTGGTGCTCATCTCTTCTCATTTAGATACTTAAATGCGTAGAACATAGTCTAGGAAAAGATTAAAAAGACTGAAGCTTATAACCCGGATGGGGTTTGAAAAATGAAAGGAATGGTTATCACAGCAGAACTTTTAAAATTATTTCTTAGTAGGGAATGTTGATTATTTTGTTCAAAATCCTTCTTAACCCAACTATAATTACCTACACCATTGTGCAAATTAATTGAAAAAAATCGAATAATTCCATTATTATTTACTTTTTTTAGTATTTTCCAACGAAACATGACCTACTGCACATATTAGTACTTTGTATGTCTATTCCACAAAGTTGTTTTTTGCAGATTGACCATAGATTCTCGATTGGATTTAAATCATGAGAGTTTCCAAGCCAGTCGATAGTAATTCGATTTGCTTGCCAGTGTGTTCGTACAGCGTTACAATTTTCGTACGCTTCCTTGGAGTAACGTCCATAGCAGACAATGGCCGTAGGACGACTAATCGATAGTCGAGACAATAGTGTTTGGGCATGATGAATATCTGATGTAATCACAGATGACGCAATATTTTTCAAGGCCAAACAAATTTCATCACACACCCCTAGAATAGTTTCATATCATCACACACCCCTAACATAGATTCATATTGCACACCGTTGCAAATGACCTAATCTGAGGAAATAAGAGAAATCGATTACACCCTGTCACTCCAGTGGGTCTAAAAGTGACCGTATGATGAAAGAAAGGAAACTAAAGTGGTTGTTTGAATTAATTTGCACAAGGGTGTATCTATCTTTCATAGTCTATTCATATCTATCTATCTATCTATCTATCTATCTATCTATCTATCTATCTATCTATCAAAAATAGATTCATATTACTGCAAAGCACTGCAAATGATCTAATCTGAGGGAAAATAGAAATCGATTACACCCTGTCAATCCAGTGGGTCTAAAAATGACCGTATGGGGAAAAAAGGAAACTAAAGTGGTTGTTTCAATTAATTTGCACAAGGATGTATGCGGTCGGCCAAATTGCCCCTCGTTATCAGTTGATTGTCCTCCAGAGGGAAAGCAAGATTGTTGTCTCCTATGGATAGATTCATTCGGGATGTAGTATGCATTGCTTAAATGATCAATGCACATCGTTTCACATCTATGCTTGTAAATGCGCAGGCTAGAGTCTAGATTAAATAAACTTTGGATATTATTTCTTCCTTGGTGTACTCCTGATGAGCTTTGAAATGTTTCCGTATTTTCTGTCATCGCCAGATTTATAAGACATGAAAACGATGAACAAGGTTGAAACAATTCTCATAAAATTGCACTGAGTTTAGCATCTGAATCTCATACCTCTGAACGCTCAAAAAGATTTCAAGTGTAAAATAATAGTAAATGTTTAATCGTTTTACTCCATTCAGCTTACGAAATGTTTCGTAAGGAAGCCGAACTTTCGGGTAGAGGGGGAAAATCTGTAATGAAAAGTCTGACAACTGAATAAACGTATTAACGCGTGTTTTAATATATCTTATCGATAATATTAGAGTATGACACAAATATTAAATCAAATCAGTAGATAGGAAATGGAAAACAAAGCGACAAATCCATCTGCGGACCAATTCGATTAGGGCTGATTAAATCAAATATGGACGCCACTTACAGTTTGGCACGGTTTTCTTCGTCAGTATGATTTTCTTGACACAATGTGACAAGTACCTTTCTCTTTTCCTTACACGTTCACTTATCCGCTTTTCGTTTTTCTTCTTCCTTCTTTCTGACGAAAGAAGGTGTTTCCACCATCATGCACAGCCTCTCCAATCGTTGTCACCGGCAGCGTCGCATTCTGTGTTGCATCAGCCGTGAATGGCGTACCACAGTCGCTTTGCAGTGGTGCTGACAAAGGATATCCGGAAGTGAGACGAGTTGTTACATTTCACACGACACCTGGACAAAATTAGAAATGAAAGTGAAAGTGAAAGTAAAGCAAGGGATCAAAATTAAATCGAAAGACAAAAAATCAAAGATGAAAATTTATTTGTATTATAATTGTGCTAAATCAAAACGAACATTCCTAAATACTGATGTTATTAGAACAGAAAAAGAGAAGAACACACACACACACACACACACACACACACACACACACACACACACACACACATATATATATATATATATATATATATATAATTGTGTATTTAGGCAGCAATCCTTCATTTATGCATATTTCATTAAAAACGGCAGGCAAGGTCCTACGGTTAAGCTCCTACATTGTAGCCTTGTTTGTAATTAATATTGTTAAGAGTTGGCTTTTTTCTTTTTTTATTATTAGGGCTTCCATTATTTTTAATCATTTTTTACAAGTGGATGAGGTTATTATATTTGTGTTTTCTACTAGTATGTTTCTAATGGAGTCTGTTAGGTTTGTGTGTGTGTTTAAATGGATTCTAATAGAGCTCTGGTCAGATAGGTGTAACGTAAGTCGTCTGGATAGGCATGTAGTTGTGTGACCGATGTAATTATTTATGAATTCGGTTTGATCAGAAGCACATTTCTTTAAGGGGCATTTGAACTCATAAATAATGTTCGTTGTAATTTTGACTTAGCTAGTTTGATGTTGTTTTTGAAGATAAGTTTAGATGTTTTAAATTTTTTTATAGTAGATAATTAATTTAATTTTTTATCCGGGTCGATTGGGGTATTGTATGTCTTTATAATATTTCTAAGTGAAGATTCGTCTTGTTTGTAGTTAATGTGCATTTGGTTTTTGTAGAAAATATTTATGTAATTTTTGACAGTATGTTCGCTATGGTTATTACTTACTTTGGGAGGTAAAACGCTAACTTAGTGATCTATAAGGTGATTAGGGAAGCCATTGTTAAATAGTGGCTTTTTTAATGAAACATATATATATATATATATATATATATATATATAAGAGAAAGAACAGATGGAGTAAAAATCCACAGTTCGTAGCATTTACTTTTTTTTAAAAGTGCTCAATACAAAGTAGAGCAAAATATTATTATAATAATTTTTATTATAATAGATTATAATAAAAAAAATCTTACATCGCTACACAAAGGTTTTCATGTTTCAATACTATGATTGTACTTCCTCAAGCGATGTTGCATGATTTGTGATAAAAATGATTTATTAGGGAAATTTAAAAACATATCGTTACCTCTTTTCGGAAGTTAGAGAGTGGGGTGCATAAAATCAGAAATTAAATTCCGAATACGAGGTACTGATTTTTTTTTTTTTTTTAATTTCAATAAATTATTTTTATCACAAGTTATCCACTATCGGCGGAGGAAGTTCAAGCATAGTATTAAAACATGAAAGCTTTTGTGTAGCCGAGCAAAATGATTTAAATCATTTTTATAATTTGTGGAGAAAAATTATGCATTTTAATATTACTCAAGGATTTTGCCAATATGACCTCAATCTTCTGGTTTTCTCCTTCTATATTGTGGATAGGAGCCATTCCCTTGTTCAAATTTAAATTGAATTTAAATCAAAGGGAAAAAAATTCAGTGGAGGGGGGTGTTGTACACACCGGGGCTCCCTTTGATAAAAATGAAATATACTTCTCAAGTTAATAAGTACCCTAGGAGCCATTCCCTTGTTCAAACATAAATTTAATTTATCTCAATGGAAAAATAAAAATGGTGGAGTGCGCCAATCCTCGTCCAATTTGATCAAAATGAAACAAATTTATGCAAGTACCCCAGGCAATGTAGTTTCACATTATATATGGTTATGGGGATCTATGTCCAAAAGATAAACAGGCAGACAGAGGCTCCAAATTTATATATATATATATATATATTATATATATATATATATATATATAATCATCCATATACATACATTTTCTTTCGCTGTGTGGCTGGAAATCTGATTGCTTTAATCTGAAAATTTATCTTTAATCTGCAAAAAAATTTAAATGCAATGTCAGTCGCTATCTACTGTCCTCCTGATTACTCTTTTCTCTTCCCGCTCATTATTGATGTATTTGTTACTAATTCTTCAACACCCTGTAATCCGTTGTGTCGTAGTGGCTTTTCTGCTTTGCTTGTGGAAATCCTTTCCAGCCAACTCTAATCTTCAATAATTTAAATGCAATGTCTATCGCCCTCTACTGTTCTCCTGATTACTCTTTTCTCTTCCCCTCCATTATTAATGCATCTCTTCCTAATTTTTCCAGACACTTTTACCCTAACTGTGACTTAGTGGATTTAGTGCCTTCAATGGCGTGAAACTGATTATACACACAAACACCCTATATATATATATATATATATATATATATATATATATATATATAAATATAAATATATATATATATATAATTATTTATATATTATATACGTCAGGTACATTAGAAAGCGCTCAATATCATAGAGCTAACATAACAAACTCACATCTATCCAACCAAATATATATATATATATATATATAATAAAATATTACAGACAGAAATTTGGTTTGCCAATGGGATCTCCTCTCAGCGGCGTTCTTGCATGTCTATTTTAGAATTTCTAGAAAGTGACTCATTCAAAAATATTCTCCTACAAACTCTTCATATTTCAGATACATAGACGACTCGTTATTAATAATTCCAAAAAACACCAATTTAACGGATCTTCTCTCCAAA